CTCCCCGTGCTGCTCCGCCCCCTCCCCATGCATCCCTGAACTCTCCCCATGCTGCTCTGACCCGTCCCCATGCAGCCGTGAACCCTCCCTGTGCAGCCCTGATCCCTCCTCTTGCAGCCCTGACCCCTCCCCATGCAGACCTGACCCCTCCCTGTGCAGACCTGACCCCTCCCCATGATATTCTGACCCCTTTCCATGCATCCCTGACCCCTCCCAGTGCAGGACTGGCCCCACTCTGTGTAGCCCTGACCCCTCCCCTTGCAGCCCTGACTCCTCCCTGTGCAGCCCTGATCCCTCCCTGTGCTGCTCTGACCCTTCCCCATGCAGCCCTGAACCCTCCCTGCGCAGCCCTGAACCCTCCCTGCGCAGCCCTGACTCCTCCCTATGCAGCCCTAATCCCTCCCCGTGCAGCCCTGATCCCTCCCTGTGCAGCCCTGACTCCTCCCCATGCAGCCCTGATCCCTCCCCGTCCAGCCCTGACTCCTCCCCATGCAGCCCTGATCCCTCCCTGTGCAGCCCTGATCCCTCCTCATGCAGCTCTGACCCCTCCCTATGCAGTCTAACCCTTCCCTGTGCAGCCCAGAACCTTCCCCGGGCAGCCCTGACCCCTCCTCTTGCAGCTCTGGCCCCACCCTGTGCAGCCCTGACCCGACTCCTCCCCGTGCAGCGCTTACCCCACCCACCTGTCAGTCACCGTCACGTGGCCCCGCCCACGCGTCCGGGTGTTAGTGCGCCTGCGCGGGGCGTCCGCGGCCCCGTGGTGGGGGTGGAGCTTTGACGCTGTGTTTACGCTCCTTTCCGCCGGTCTGAAGGAGCGAGGAGCGGGCGGCGGCGGAGGGCCCGGGAGCCGCTTGGCGGACACAGGCCGTCACAGACACCGGCCGCGCCGCTCGCTCCCGATCAGCCTGACGCGAGTGCGCTCCCGCTCTGTGTCGCACACCCCCGCCGCCGCTCTCCCCTGGTTTGGGAGCATCGCTGGAGGTGGGCCAGGTAGGAATGATTGACAGGGAGGAAATCCAATGGGGAAAAGGCATCGGCCGGCCCCCCCCACCCCCCCCCAAATCAGCAAGTTAGATTGAGAGGTGCCCCCGACCCCGTCCCATCAGATTAGGTTGAGAGGTGCTCCCCCGCCCCCATCAGCAGGTTAGGTTGAGAGGTGTCTCCCCCGACCCCACCCCCACCCCCAATCAGGTTAGGTTGAGAGGTGCCCTTTTACCCCCGTCAGCAGGTTAGGTTGACAGGTGGCCCCCCCCACCCCCCCCCCCATCAGGTTAAGTTGAGAGGTGCCCCACTGATTCTATATTAGTGAGGATATAAGGAGGTAATGATAAATTTGAATTCAACACTCAAATGGAATATTGTGCCTAGTTCTGGATATGGATGTGAAGGCATCGGAGAAGATGCAGAAAGGATTCACAGAATGATTCCAGGGATGTGGAACTTCAATTACCTAGATAGATGAAAGAAAGTAGATAGATTAGGGGCGGCACGGTGTTACAGTGGTTAGCACTGCTGCCTCACAACACCAGAGACCTGGATTTAATTCCAGGTCTTGAAATTGGATCTGGGTAACTATCTGTGTGGAGTTTGCATGTCTCCCCGTGTCTGCCCACAGTCCAAAAATGTGCACAGTCAGGTGGATTAGCCGTGCTAAATTGTTCGTAGTGTCTAGGCATGTGCAGAGCTAGGTGGATTGGCCATGGGAAATGCAGGATTACAGGGATAGGACGGGGAGCTGAGTGTGAGATGGGATGCTCTCCAGAGGATCAGTGCAGACTCAGTGGGCTGAATGCCATGTTTCTGCACTTTAGGGATTCTATGAATTGAGATCAGAGAAGCTGGGACTGTTTTCATTGGTTACAAAAAAGGTTGAGAAGAGATTTGATAGAGATATTCAAACACATGAAGGGCTTGGACAGAATAGAGAAGGTGAAACTGTTCCTGTTGATGGAAGGATTGAGAACAAGAGGACACAGGTTGAAGGTAATTGGCAAAAGAAGCAATGAGGACATAAGGAGAAACATTTTCATGCTGCAAGTGGTTAGGATCTGGAGTGTACGGCCTGAGGGACTGGTGGATGTGGCTTGAATTGAAAGGGAATGATCAAAAAGGAATGTGCAAGGTTTTTGGGACAAAGTGGGGAAGTGGAAATGGGTGAATTGTTCATTCAGAGAGATGGTACAGACACAGTGGCCAAATGGCCTCCTCCTGAAGAGATGACCTCCATTTGAAGAAAATGTGATTCTGGAGAAGGAGCAGATGTAGTGGTGGGAGAGACTAGTAGGAAATGACCAAAACCTGATGAAAAGACAGGTTTTGGGGCCATGCAGTGGAGGCTGGGTGGTGAGTGGAATCAGTGCCACTAAAGGATCCACCCCCATCAGAAAAAGAGTGGGAGATTTGTAGAAAGAAAATTCAGAGTCTGAGGACCAAAGGATGCTGTAAATAAGATTTGGAGGACATTGCAGAGGTGGGAATGCAGCAAGGCCAGGAAAGGATTTGCTAAGAGTAAATAATTACAATTTAATATGGCATGGGGCAGCATCCAGTGTTGGTCCACGATGGGTGAATGGAACTTGATGCAGGATACAGTGCAGGTTGCCGTGGTTCGGACCAATGGGAGTTTGTGGAGGATGGCAAACTATTGGAATAATTGAGTTCAGACCTGACTATGAATGGACTGATGAACATAGCTGGAAGAAATCTGTTGGGGGTGATTTAACCATACCCCCCCACCCCACCTCAGCATGGGGTCATCACTGGAGGTCGCTCCCTGCCTGTGGTCAATCAGTAGGCGGTGGTGTAGTGATAATGTCACTGATTCAGAGGCCCACAGGCTAATGAATGCTGTGGGGTCATGGGTTCAAATCCCACTGTGGCACCTGGTGGAATTCAAATTCGATTAACAAAATCTGGAACTGAAAGTAAGCTTTAGTGACAGTGACCATGAAACCGTCATTGATTGTTGTAAAAACCCATCTGGTTCATTCACATTCTTCAGGGTCTGGTCTGCATGTGACTCCAGACCCACAGCAATGTGGTTGACTCCAAACTGCCCTCTGAAATGGCTGAGCATGTTGCATACTTCAAGGGCAATTAGGGATGGGCATGAAAGGATTAAACAGAGGCAAACTTGCTGAGTTTTTCCAGTAATTTCTGTTTTGGTTTCTGATTTCCAGCATCCGCAGTTCTTTTTTTTTAAAACAAAGATGAGCTTTGGGTAATGGTGACAGGTTTGTGTGTATGTGTTGGAATTAAGGGTGAAGGGTCTATACAAGAGGTAGTGGCAGAAACATAATTCAGAGATCGAGAGAGGAGTTCATGATGGAGCAGTTAGAGATGAGCAGGTGAAGATGAGGACTGGGTGATAAGAGAAAGATTTCCATTTTGGATTTCCATGTCGCTGTGCAGGCCCACTGGCTAAATGGCAAAAAGTGGCTGTTAGTGCCGTGTCTTTGAGAAGATCATGAGAAGGAGAAGTCCTTAAGGAAGGACCTTTGTGTCAGGAGAGTTCCTGCCCATTCAGTAGCCATTGTTAATGAAGTAGGTGTTCCAGTGACAGCGAGATTCAAAATCAGCAACAACAGTGCTGAGGAAGTGGTTTGGAACTGGGACATAGTTCAGACACATGCACATTCCCATAGCAACACCAATGACCTGGAGGAACTGAATGGAGTTCAAAAGTGAAGTTGTTTAAAGTACGTGAAATTTGAGCCAGCAGAGGAGGTTGGAGTTAGGTGGAACCCAGTTGGGCTCCTGTTCAGAGGAAGAGAGAGCATGGAGAGTGTCCTGGTGAGTGCTGGTGTGTAGAGGGACTGAACAGGCTGAAGAATCGCAAAAAGGAGTGAAAGTTCACAGAGGACCAAACTTACAAACGCAGGGAATTTTTAAAATTCTCTTCCACTGTGGCATGTTTGGCACTGAAGAGGCATTTAACTGGACATTATCTCGGAAACTGGGGAGCTTTCCACCTCCCTGTCTCCACTCTGATTAGGTGTGTGGTGGATAGGCGCCTGGGCAGCCTTCCAACTTGGCCACCGATTGAGTCCTTCAAATAATTAAGATCTGTGCGCACAGCAGGCAGACCTGTACTGCACAGGGATCGCAATGAGCGAGTCTTTCCAGCTTGCTTTGGGTCTGCTGTGTCAAGGGAAGGGGACACTCAGTATATGATTGAGGGACCTGGCATCAGGCAGGAGGAGCCCCGCTAGACAGCCCCTTGCCCTTGCTGCTGACCACCTTTAACAACATCCTCCTTTGTGTCCCCCAACCTGTAACAGCCCCCACCACTTCCCTCTGGCCTGGGTGGTTGCATGATCTTGAGCCTCTGGTGGTTGTAAATCTTACAGCAGGAGCTACTGGGTAAAGCTCTTGATGAGTGAGATCTCCAGTGTCTGGGGCCCTGATACCATACCAAACGTGCTAGTGACCTGTTAATTTCCTAAATGGCTCGTGATTTGACAGATGGAATAAAGACATATCCAAAAGAGGCAATGTAGGGGTCTCACTGGTTCTCCAATCGGCAGCTGAGATCTGTGTAACCCCCATTAATCAACCTCCCCCGTGCAGTAAATGGTGAGGAGGATAATGACTGGAGGATTTTTTGATTTGATCTGATTTGATTTATTATCGTCACATGTACAGTGAAAAGTTTTGTTTTGTGTGCAGTATAGGCAGATCATACCAGACAAAGTGCATTAGGGTAAGAGAACAGAGCGAGGAGTACAATGTTACAGGCTGCAGAGAAGGTGCACAAAGAGCGAGATCAACATTATATTTAAAATTTGAGAGGTCCATTCAGATGTGTAATAACAGTGGGTTAGAAGCCGTTCTTGAATCTGTTGGTATGTGTGTTTAAGCTTTTGTATCTCCTGCCTGATGGAAGAGGTTGGAAGAGAGTATAACTGGGATGGGAGGGATCTTTGATTATGTTGGTTGCCTTCTTGAGGCACCAAGCAGTGTGGTTGGAGTCAATGGATGGAAAGTTGGCTTGCATGATGGACTGGGCTGTGTTCACAACTCTCTGTAGCTTCTTAAAATTCAGGGCAGAGCAGTTGCCGTACCAAGCTGTGATGCATCCAGATAAGATGCTTTCTATGGTGCATCTGTAAAAGTTGGTAAGAGTCTTTATGGACATGCCGAATTTCCTTAGCCTCCTGAGGAAGAAGAGGCATTGTTGTGCCTTCTTGTCAACGTGGGTGGTGCCGGACAGATTGTTGGTGATCATCATTCCCGGGAACTTGATGCTCTAGACCATCTCCACCTCAGCACCATTGATATAGGACATAGTCAGGTTGAGGAAATGGCTGATGAAACCTAATGTAGACAAGAATGAAGCAAAACATTTTGATAGAAAGAATAAGGAAAGTTTTATAAACCAATTTTAAAGCTGGTACAGGAAAATAAAGACCTGAAGTTGTACCTGCATCAATGATTGAAGTTTGCGGGACAAGTTGATGAGGACTAGTTGATTTGTTTGTGATATACATAAATGATTTGGAGGAAGGTATAGATGGTCTGATTAGCAAGTTTGCAGATGACACTAAGATTGGTAGAGTAGCAGATAGTGAAGGGGACTGTCGGAGAATGCAGCAGAATATAGATAGATTGGAGAGTTGGGTGGAGAAATGGCAGATGGAGTTCAATCCAGGCAAATGCAAGGTGATGCATTTTGGAAGATCCAATTCAAGAGCGAACTATATGGTAAATGGAAAAGCCCTGGGGAAAATTGATGCACAGAGAGATCTGGGTGTTCAGGTCCATTGTACCCTGAAGGTAGCAACGCAGGTCGATAGAGTGGTCAAGAAGACATACGGCATGCTCTCATTCATCGGACGGGGTATTGAGTACAAGAGTTGGCAGGTCATGTTACAGTTGTATAGGACTTTGGTTCGACCACATTTGGAATACTGCGTACAGTTCTGATCGCCAGATTACCAAAAGGATGTGGATGCTTTGGAGAGGGTGCAGAGGAGGTTCACCAGCATGTT